ACTACTGTCCATACACTGTTAGGGTATTTACTGCAGCAGTTGTGACACCAACAACAGCAAGCTAGTTTGTAGGAACCGACTTGGAACTATGATCTAAACAAAGCAGTTCTGAGACCTCAATAATCAGGTCAGGAGGACAGCAGGTTGGCATGGAGGAGTCGATCGATTAATCATTCTTTACTGTTGGATAAGTGAAGTAAGTTGCATTCCGATATGATATAATGGAAAGAAGCCCTTCAGAAAATCGAGTTGTACTCGTGAATTCTCGAACAGGTATCACTCTTTGGTCGTCAGACTAAATGAAAAGCGAGGGCTAGGAATGTCACATTAGAGGTTTTGGGGCCAGAGGTTACAACGAAAGAGCTTAATTCACACTAGGCCGGTTTTCGCGCATGGTCCACTAACCTGCGCCAAGCCTGAAACAACAGCAGCCTGTCCGTGCTCGGTCAAGTAGAATTTCACTGACTCTGAACCCCCCTCCCTCCCCCGAACATGTGGCCCACAATCCAAACGTTAACACCCCTTTCACCTCACCAGCACAATCTATCGGCACAGGAGTCACGTCATCCTAACCCTCCCGCCCAATTCCACCCTGTTCGTTCTAACCTCCGACCCCAAAACCTCTAGTGCGACATTCGCAGCCCTCGCTTTTCATTTAGTCTGACGACGAAAGAGTGATACCTGTTCGAGAATTCATGAGTACAACTCGATTTTCCGAAGATCTTCTTTCGTTTCATTCTTTACTGGATCCAGTGGTTCCAATGCATGCAGAAACCTTAAGTTGCATAAACTAGAGTACTTATTCAGATACCCCTGTCGACAAGAACTACCCCTAAGAGACTATTAGAAAATTGAACTTAGTCAAAAGAACGAAACTATCTCGGTAATTGAAAATCCTCAGGCCACGACTTTCATTGCATCTTAATAACTCCCACGTAAGTTGGGTGGAACAGGGTTATAGAAGGTCACATTGCATTGGTCTTACACTCCAGCGTCTATTTCGTCATGTACTTGTCAGAAGGCAACGAAAACGTGACCACGGTTGAGGAGAGGATTCATGGGTGACCAAAGAATGTCGCGTGCCGCACTCGTAATCGGTCCTTTATCAGCACATATCAGACAGCACTCAAGCAAATGACTGATAATATTTTAAGGTCCAAAGCAACAGAGCGACCCATATAATGGGTCCAGCAAGTACAGAAAGAGCCCGTCGCCGCAGCAAGTAGAGCCGACAGCCAGTTCAATGAATTTACTCACCAATGATAATGACAGAAGAAATGCCAATGATGGTGGGGTTGATGTGTAAGAAGTGGGTTACATTAGCAGATGCAAAGTTAATAAAGAATTCCAGAGCAGAGAACCCTGGTGCTTACCGGGGTCGTAGCGCCTCATGTTTCAGATTGGCAAACAGAGGCAATGAGTCCCGAAATGCTCGCATGTGGTTGCCTAATGTGCAGCCCACGGGCGTAGAACGCACCTCCTTGGGAAGCCTTCGTAGGGCCCTCAGGTAACCTTCGATACCTTCACTTAGAACTTTAAAGTCCGCCTGATTCCAGAGAGTACTCGACCAAATGGCTCTTTCCTCCTAAACAGCAAGGTTAACAGAGAGGTGGATTTCCAGAATTTCAGGTTTTACCTTCTGGTCTCCGTAAATGCGGTAGAGCCTCTCAAGTGAATCCATTTCATGGAAGATCCTCGTGAGTTGGGCGTAGGTTGAGATTGGCAAATCTAGCAGTTTTTCGGCAGATAGGAGCTCATGCCTTTCACCTTCTAGTTGTTGTATTTCTTCTTGATATTGCTATTTGAAAAAAATACAAAGGAACCATAAACTTAACTACGTAAACTTGAATTCCTTCCATAAGTGAAGATAGTGTTTCTTTAATATTCGACGTAGACCCATATCTCATGCTCTTTGTGTCGTTAAGGGTAATTGGGGAACGTAGCCTTCAAAGTATGGCAAATTTCCTCATTGGAGTGGACTTAAGTCACTGTGCCGTAAATGCCAGCTTAGTAATCTGCCGTCTGAACTACAGAAAGGCTACCAAATAGGCTGCTACATCAATATAAGGGTACTTGTTACTTAATGCCATTGGCGATTGTGACGAATATATGGTCTAGTAAAGCGTTTCCTCTTGCCCATCTTCAACACAGTTAGGTCGCAACAACGTATCGCATAATTTTCATAGGTTTGCTGCATAAGACGCTTGAGCGATTAAGACCGCTTGATTCGACGAAAAACTGCCGAAAAGGTCAGGACTAAGGCCACTATTTCCATTTTCTCCCCGGAAGTCAGTCAACCATATCTTAAATCCAGCCCAGAAGGACTAGAGGCTGTAAATCGATTTCCTCTGTAGGAAGTAAACCGAGGTATACCGATATAACCGGAAATTCACCAGTCATAATTACATAGGCTGCAATCGATTACATAACATTTGTCTAAATAGGTCTGCCTATATGTTTGAAAATAAGACTGAATGAAAAAGTTCGCGTTTCAGGTATTTGCATGGATAAGGAAGAAGGATTAGTTCATAGCTGGACTAATCAAAATCGAGCCTGTACTAATTTTTGTTGCAATATAACTATCGCATTTGGTCCAAACCACCTAGTAAATAGGAACATGGGAAGTAAACACGAAGAACTTTATGGCTGTTGTCTAAAAGGGACACTA